CCCCGAGTGAATCCAACCGGCCCCTTCCCGCCTGGAAGCCCCCTCTCCAGCTGCTCTGAGGGGTTTCTCTGGGGAACCGGAGCCCCCTGGATCTCGGGGGCAGCCCCAGGCGGGGGTCCCTCTGGGTCTCACCTGTGTAATAGAGGTACCGAGCCCACTCGTTGTTGTTGGCCTGCTCGGGGAACACGGATTTGGAGACGAGTTTTTCTGCTTGGTCGTAGAGGTTGTAGTGGAGATAGTTCCTCAGCAGCAGGTTGAGGAGGGTGGCCTGCCCGTCCGCGTCGTGCCGCAGCGTGGCCGTCCGTAGCCGGGCGTGCAGGAAGCTGCGGGAGAGCATCGGGGGTCGGGGGGGCGGAGGGAAGAAACAGCCCCGCTGAGCGGGGCGTGCGGGGCAGAGCTCGGGGAGAGCCGGCACGCAGGACCCCATCCCCTACCTCCTGACCACGTCGAGTTTATTCAGGAATTCGTAGATGCGGGAGTGGTAGTAGTAACATTTTGCCACCACCAGGTCAAGGGCTCGGCGGTTTTGGGAACTGATCTTCTGCATCAGGTCGTCGGACACTTTCTGAGCCTGCAGGAGAGGACCAGAGAGGTCAGAGGGGAGGAACTGCTGCCTGGGAAGAGCAGAGACACCGCCAGGGCTGTGGGATTGAGCTCCAGGGCTGCCTGCAAACACAGCCGAAACGAAGGGGCAGGTGTAGGACCGAAGACAGGCAGGTCCCCCGAGGCTCTGCAGGCCCCACCTGCAGCAGAAGCACCACACAGAGCTCAGGGCATCTCACCTCCGGGTATCGCTTGCTGTTCATCAGGTAGATGACGAGCAGCAGTTGGAGGTAGGTCTCCACTTCTGGCAAGAGAGGGGCTGAAGCCGCCTTCCCCGTCCGTGGGCGAAACTGCAGCTCAGCTTCCGTGTCCATGGACTGGGGGGAGAGAGACGGGCTGGACCCCTTGTGCCACCGGCGCCGCTCACGCCCCCACCTCCAGCGAGGCCCGTCCTGGCGGCAGCTCGGCGTGACAAGAGCCGGCCCGGGCTGTGGCACTCCAGCCCCTGGGCTGTGGCACTCCAGCCCCATCCCTGGCAGAGCTGCAGCGCCCCATCTCCTCTCACACGGGCTCCCGAGCAGCCGGGCTGTATGTCCCAAGCGCCCCCCAAACCCGTGCTGTCCCCCTGGGTGCCCTCCCACCCTGCACCAGCGGCACTCCGGAGGCTCCTCGGGGCGGGAAAGGTGTCCCCTCTGCCCACCCCCCTGCTGCCGTACCTCCTCCAGGAAGCCGAGGAGGAAGTCTCGCACGGCGGTGTTGGAGGTGAAGAAGCCGGTGATGGCTTTGTGGAGCACGTTGGAGTTGAGCCGGCGGGAGGTGGAGGGCAGAGCCCGCAGGGCACGCAGGACGTAGCGCGGCTCCTTCCCCGACACGGCCTTTTCCAGCTGCTTCACGTGCTCCTTGATGTCTGCGGGAGCGGAGGGGACGTGCCACCGGCTGAAGGACGCACCGGAGCGAAGCCAGCGCCGGGATCCCTCCCGGTACGAGGTGCCCCGTCCCGCTGCTCCCGGATCCCTCTGTCCGCTGGGGCTGTGCAGCCTCCGTGCC